AAATATTATTAACGTAAATGAATAAAGACAATTTTACTGTAAAACTTTTGTATACAACATTTTTTGATATCTTGAAAAGTTTTCGAGATATAACAAAAGAAAAAAAGAATTAATTTGTATATAAGTGGTGGATTCATCCCTTTAAACCGTTTTTTAGCACCAACTGATAATTTCTAAATTTATCTTTTTATGTAACCTCAAAGTGTACCAAGTTTCATTAAAATCAGAATTTGACACTTCAAAAGGTTCCTTTATTGGTGATGTTAAATAAATTACTCCCACCACGCGCCATCCACTTGGTGCGCGGGGGCGGCGACCGTAGTCCGCGGCGGGCGGGCGTATTTCGTCGCGCGTTCAGATTCGACGAGCTTTATATATTAATATCTCGAAAATTATTGCGAAGATCGGAAAATGGTAGAGGACTTTTTTGTTCAGTTTTGTCCACACTACCTCCCCACAAGCGGTGTACCATTGAGTATGAGACACCTTGTATATATATATATGTTTCTTCTTATATATTATAACCTAAACTTACTTTCGTCGCTCCAGACAACATTGGACCATTGCTGACATGTCCAGTTAAGTCGTGCTTTTGTCTATTCTACTCTGCGCCTTCCAATTTTAGATGGAAATAAATGACTTCTTCACGAGACACCGTCCATGTAGTCCTCCGACCTGCAAGCGACGATGTATGGTCCGTATGGATGGACTAGATTCACCAGATGAACTAGATTCACCAGATGAACTAGATTCACCAATTAATATTTCCTTAACAATGTCCAGTGACGTGAAATGTGGGTTGCTGCAAAATATGCGAAGAATGTTGCGATCGACAGAAATAGTGCGGTTTTCTTCTTTTTAATATGACCTTCCTGGATTTTCCAACGCTTCAGTAATTTGGTTAGCGCCGATTTAGAAATGCCAATCTGCTGGTTGAACTCCTTGTGTGTTCATCCTTGTTTGTGGTTTTCTATAATGGCTTTTCGCTGTAGTTCGTCTATATCTTAAGCACCACGGATCTTTGCCATAATGCAACACACTAAATCTAACTGATGGTAAAAGCAATAACTGCGATCCGAAAAACAAAGAAAGCACAAAAGTGCGATTTTGAAAAAATTAATAAAAAATTTAGAA